CTTCCACGTAGCCGTGGACTCTACGCGGAGTCTGCAAGCTCCATGAGAGCCGAGGATCTCCCATGGATCTACTTTTACGATCGTCTAACGGTTACGAACTGATTTTGAATAACATGGATCAATTTTTTTTTTTTTTTTTTTTCATTGTCTCTCAATTTTATATACAGCTCTCAGCAGCGCCCTGGCACGTTTAGTAAGTGACCGTAGCTGGGTAACTATAGTGCATAGGTTGGATGAGGTTGGATTACACTAGGCCAAGCAGGTTGAACTTGAAGAAATCTTTGGCTATTCGTCGTTCGTATTGTTTTCTCGAACTTCGGGAATTTTTACAATGTCCAATGGCAATCTACGTTTGGATCTGCCTGCAAATGCAATCTTATCGGGGCGTTCTGCCGCGTCGCTCTGATGGAAAGGAGAGCAGAGACGACGGACGTCGGACGCGTCGCGGGACGACGATCCGTCCAACGGCAGAGTGCAACGAACGATAAAAAAAAACAAACGAGCCACACGCGCGACACAAAGAATAACTCGCCACTACGAGGACGTGTGGGCGCCGGCTGTACTCTCTCTCTCTCTCTCTCTCTCTCTCTCTCTTACACATTCACTCTCCCCCTATCTTTTTCCCATAGTAATATTGCTCTCTTCTTTTAATCACTTCCCCACTCTTTCTCTCGCCTCTCTTCGCCTTCGCGCTTTGCTCGCGCATACTTTTACTCTTGCTTCTCTTGGGGTAGGTCATGGCAAAACTTCAGACGATGCCCCGTTTCCACGTAGCGATACGCGAGCGCTCCTCACACTTTGGGTCGGCGACGCTCTCGCGAGGCTCCCTGCTACGTTTTACGAGGTTAACTTTAAGATATTGGGGATTCTGGAGAATCGTTAAACTTTAATTTTTCCTCTAGTTTCCCAACCGTCATAGCATTATTAATTTATTCCGTGCATCGTGCGTTGGTTAGCTCTTAGAAAAATAATTAATACTTAATTCGGAATTTTTCGAAGATTTCAAGAGATCGTAAATACTTGAGTTAAATTTTGAAAATTCATCAATCAATCTCTGATGTAACTGCTGGTCTATTCGTAATAAGGGGATTACGGCTGGACGATTAATAATTCTTACATGTATATCCGAAACAGGTATTTTCTCCGGGATTTTAAAGAGTATTATCGTAGCAGCCTGGTAGGAACTTCCGGTTGAAATTTTAATGCTTCTTGCACTTATTCCGGTTCCCGCTTGCGCGATTCGCATTTATTATATTTATTCGCGATATTATAGACGGTTACGGGAAAAATTGATCGTAAGATTTTCGAGTGGCAGACGTATACCAGTTTTACCTTTATACTTTGTAAACACGTGCACTTGACGTCTGTGCGAAATTCATACACAAATGCAAAAGCTTAAGACACAAGACCGACTGCCATTATTGTATCCGATCATGCGATCCGAAAATCATAGAAAATTACTGAAAACCCAAGAAACTCCGCGGGGCTTAAGACGTTACAATTTCGTTTTGCCATAACGGCCATGAGGCACGGAACCGAACGCTTTCCGGTTTGGGTAGCGAAGTACAACCCTTTCCAATAAAGGGTCGTACGACGAGGAGGACTAAGCGCAAGGGATGAAACAAAGCAAGACGAGCGAGGACCGTTATATTTTAATCGAAGAAAGATCCATGTGCCGTTGGGATCCTGAGCGAAGAATTGCCGAGGGCTCCTAGACGGATAAGGGAGGATACAAAGGTGGGCCGAGAAGAGAGAGAGAAAAAAAGTTACGTCACGAAGGGGGTGCAACGTGAGAAATAATCAAGGGGGTTCTTTGAGTAAGAGGTAAGGGGGGTAGTTGCCATGCCCATGCCATCTGAGACAATAGATCTAAAAACCTTGTCCCAATTTGCATTGGGATCATGAGAGAAAAATTTCACCCCCCAAAAGTTTCCATTGTACGACCCTTATTTCCCTTTACGTAACACCCTCAATTTTTTTTCCACGTGCCGTTTCGCGCTTCTTATCCCGCAGGATAGAAAACAGGTTTCGCTTGTAAATCTTTCAAGGATACACTTGGCAGCTGCGCACTTTCGTAAGTGCCCTACCTAACCTGACCTTGTGTACCGATCCACAAAAAAAAAAGTAAAGGATCATCATAATGAGATCGGCTGGTGTCACTGGTCCACGTGATCTACGAAGATGAGAAATTTGAGAAAGGGGTTGTGCGCGAGAATTCGTCTGGTATACCTATAGACAGTATTAGTCGATATATATATATATAGGTATATACACGGTAGGTATACACTAAGCAAAGTGCAGCGAACCGGTTGCACCCTAGGGCTGGTTTTGAAAAAAAAATTCATTTGTATGTACCCGAATGCCTAGCGGTGAGGTAGGGGGAAGGGGTCGGGTTAAAGAGGCGACGAAATAATTGGATTTTAATTTCGCTCCAGCGTGAAAAAACCATCCCCCGCATGTGAAAAGTAGATGAGAGGACGAGTGTTTGCATTACTCAATGCGTCTCTATGTGTTTCTATGACTTTTTTTCTCCCCGTATAATTCCATCGTCTTTCTTTGCACGTTCCCACGGTTTCCGCTTCTCTTACGTACCATTGCATCGATACACTCGTGGGTTTAGCTAACGCGAATTTACGAACGCCAACCAAGCCCTTCGTATCTATGCTCGTCCCTATATACGTGGGACAATTTTTGTTTAACTCATCGATTTTGCGACTTTCCAATTGGCCAAACTCTTCGAGGCCTACGCACCACGTTTCGCGTGCGGATATCTTGAAAAATTGCTCGGCCGGAAGGAGGGTGCGAAATATAACGCGACGTTACTCTTTAGAACGCACAGCGGTTACATTGGACGAGGGGTGGGACTGAAATTTAGGGTGAGACTAAAGGTTCTCGTACGGTCGCTTGTTGCTGGTCGAACGAAGGGGTTCAATTAAAAAAAAAAAAGTATTCAAATAAGAGACAAAAAATTGAGGAGAAAGCTCGCACGTGGGGGTGGTGGCCACTTGAAATTAGAAGGGGTGAAAAATCGCAACGGAAAAAAGAATGTCAGGGTTTGAAGAGGGCGCGATGAGTACCCGAAAAAAAGTAGTGGGGGGGGGGCATCCCTATGGTAAAAAGGAAGCAAATGTTTTAATTAAATTTCTGCGAAATGTTAAAACTTTGCCATTCCGCGTGGTGTTTTTGCGATTTTCCAAAAGTTCTCCGACGACGCTCGACTGGGGCTTTCGGGAGCGAGCGAGACGCGGCGACGCCAGTGGATGCCGCTAGGACGAAGACGGTAGGGAACGATGAAAAACGAGAAAAAGTACGACAGAGGCAACCAAAGTGAAGGTTGCGTAAAAATTCGATATAAAAAAAAGAGGGGGCGCAAAGAAGCGTGCTACGCTCCTGAACTTTTCACCTTCTTGTCCTGAAGGATTGGTTACCCCGTACCAGCTTACTGTACCCGTGTATTCGAACTCTCTTCTTTCTGTTGGTATACTCCCTTGGCCATACCCTAAATCCACCTCTCTGCCACTTCCCATTGGCATCGCCATAAAAATAAAGGAATGACGTAAAAACAAAGGACTGCGACTACTTAGCGAAACAAATTGTTGCTTCACCGACGAGAATTTAAAAGTTTTCTCTCGTCTTAAGTTTTTCATCTCTCCGCGTCCCTATTTCTCGTTCCCTCTCGCTCACTCCATTTCGCCCGACGCCTAACACAATTGAAGACTCGTTAGCGGCAGGTTCTTTCGAAATCTCTTGGACTTCTCGTCGCTCGTGACGTCTTTATGGAATCTTTACGTACAAACGAATGTACTCGTTCGCGTCAGTCCGACGTTACGTGATTTTACGAGAAACCTATATTATTATTATTCAATGAAAATCATAATATATCAAATTAATCTATTTTCATTGTTACGTACAAATTCTTTACGTAGGGATGAAACTTGAATTTTATTATTTTAATTTTTTTTTACTCTATACTTGTAAAACTGTTATAGGGATTTAGCATGATATATGTACGTATATAAATATATATATACAAATAGCATTCTCAGTGCAATGTCAGTAATACTTATATCCACGCGATTTATTGACATGGATCAATTATAGGAAGTCGGCTTGAATTAGACGTTATAATAACGAAATCGATGTCCCTAGACTATACATGTGTAATGTAAGAACTTACTAAGAGTAGACATTAAAAAATTTACTAAACCCTCCCTACATTGGTCAATAATTCATGGACCTCTATACTACAAGTAGCAATAACCTGAAATCTTATTAGGTGAAAGTAGATAAATAATAACGACTTATCCATTTAGCATTTACCGAAAATAAATTCAATTACGATTATATGACCATATCCAACGAGAAATCTATACGGGCAGCATTAATTATTATTGTCACGTACACATGTTATAGGGGTAAATATATAGCTTCAAGATTAAATCAAAATTTTCAAAATTTGACAATCGTATGTCACGTGCCAGTCGATTTATCCTTACGAACAAACGTTCAATCTACGGCACGAGAAAAAATGGGAAAAATTGGAAAATAATGTAAAAACGAAAAATCGTACTTTAAACAATAACGAACACAAGATAGCGAGCGTGCGACATAAAAAAAATTATAGACAAAAATTGTTCACCCTTATCGAAGGGGTCGGTTTGAAATGACGAACGAAAGATGATACAAGGATGAAAGTAAAAATTGTCACAGGGGTACCAAAAGAAGACACAAAAAAAACTGAAACCAAACTATAATCTATCTATGCAACTTTGGATTAATATCTCGAGGATGTTAAAGAAACAAAAAATAGAATGAATACGACCACGTGCAGGAGGAACGCAAAGAGAATACAAAGTCAACGCTAACGTAACGTAACTCAGGGTGACTGATTGTCAGTGAGTGAATGTACGTTTTTTCTAGCCGTTGGGTATTTTCTTATCTTTTGGATGAAAGTAAACGTCAAATGAAAGGGATGACAAGGGGCTGAGTGTTCAACTCACTCGCTGCAGTGTGGTCCAGCATTCTTCGAGGGTGCGTTCGCTGATGTTGCCCATTTCCGCACCTGCACCAGGACCTCCTGCACCGCCAAGACTCCCTGCAGAAGCTCGCGACTATCGGCAAGAGTAGTCTCGTGTTAGTAAAGGATCGGTTTCACGGGTAGCGGGCGCTATACTAGACCCCTTTGGTACATACGGCCCTGGGACGTACGAGTAACATACAAGACGGAATAAAAAGAAAGCCTGACCCTGTGTAACAAATTCACCGAGACAAAGAAAATGAATTGCAATACTTAAAAATCTGAAAAGATCTTCCCACTCCACGTATAACGCATGCATCGCTTTTTCCTAATATAGGTAAATACCTATATCATAAAAAAAAAATATATATATATATCAGATGATCAAAAATTTAAAAAAATATAAACTTAGATATATAGGGTGGTATTATATTTCATCCATCGCTTGGATCGAACGTTATTCGTTTGTGAACACGCGATTGTATATAATATTTTGCAAATTTATAGTTGATTTATAAAAAGATCTGTTTGCTAATTAATTATGAAAATTCTCAACGAGCCCCTCTGTCCCTATATATAGACACGTGAGCAGACGTAATTCTCGGCTGGTTTCGCAAGGCGATACCGTTCAATATTTTCTGCGGAACATCTTCCCGGCGGTCGGCCGTATGACGTGCGTATGGTATTATCTGTGTTGCGCGGGTCAAGAACCCCGAGAGACGTATCTGCATCCAGGCGATGGTGTGCGTGCATGGCGTTCCTAGCTGGCACCATAGTATGCGTTGACCTGACTCGCGTACGTCGGTAGTAAGCTAGCGTTTCCAAGTGTGTGCGTGAACCGTGGTCAGCGTATCTCGATACAGTTGCTGGTGCCGAAGAGAGGATCGAAATCTCCAGGAACACTCGAGAGAGCACCACGTGTCCACGACAACACCGGGATAACGCCACTGGCGATAATATATGTATATGTGTTATATATATGGAGAGTATGGATGAACAGCTAGGATATATCGTTAAAAAGATATTATAAGGTTCAGAACTCACCTGGAGCTCATTCACGAGCTTCTCCGTGAGGGACGCATCGTGGGAGTCCTGACTGGTTGCACCTGGACTCAGCATCGAGTTCTGCGAGTTCTGCTGCTGGGACGCAGAGACGTTCATACCGGCCAAGGCGCCATTTTGACCGATGGAACCAGTCATGTTGAGCGCCTGTTGCTGAAGATTTTGCGTCAGGTTTTGGGCCTGCTGTTGAAGATTCTGAGTCAGGTTCTGTGCCTGTTGTTGGAGTGTTTGTTGACTCAAAGTCTGGCTCAGGTTTTGGGACAGATTTTGCGCCTGCTGCTGAAGGGTCTGCGACAGATTCTGTGCTTGGCTTTGGAGATTTTGTTGAAGAGTCTGTCCGGCCTGACTCAGGTTCTGCGGTTGATTCAGCAACTGTTGTTGTTGTTGTGGCGAAAGACTTGGTGTTAAGCTTTGAGCTAGATTGTGCTGTAGCGTTTGTCCTAGGTTCTGCTGCATGTTCTGCGTGAGGGCCTGCGACAGAGCCTGGCCCAGGTTTTGATTCAGGGCCTGCGCTGCCTGTACCGCTTGAACGGTTAGGGTTGGGCTCGGTGTCTGGGACATACTTTGAGCCTGGGTGAGATTGTGAAGATTTTGTGCCATACTCGTGCCGATGTCAGCGCCCTGGGGCGATGGTGTCGTAGGCGCTGGGGAAGACTGATGTTGCTGGGACCCCTGAGTGTTCTGTTGTTGTTGAGTCATCGACAGGCCGTGCTGCTGCTGCTGCTGCTGCTGTTGTTGCATCTGAGCGGCATTACTCTGACCCAAAGTCGACTGTGCGCTCTGTTGTATCTGCCCGCCGTTCTGCTGCTGTTGTTGTTGCTGTCCAAGCGGACTGTGCATCGACTGTTGTTGAGCACTACTTTGTATGGGGCTATGCTGCTGCATTCCCGGCGAATGTTGAGGCGGTCCACGTTGCGGCTGCTGCCAATAGTCTGACATCTTGAAGACGTGCTGTCGCAGTGCGTGAAGATTGGCAGCGGCCGCGGAGACCGCCGAGGCCTGGACCTCCATTGGTTCGGGATCCTGTTCGAGATCCGGTTCTGGTGACGAGCAAGGATCCTCGTCCTCCTCCTCGTCCTCTCTTTCCGTAATGTCCTCCTCCTCGTCGTGGATCCTCGAGATGACTTCCTGAGTTTTTGTTCCTCCGGCGGACACACCGCCACCACCTCCCGCACCAGGGCCACCACCGCCTCCAGCTCCAGCACCTGTACCAGGACCAGCACCGCCACCTTCGCCGCCACCTCCGCCTCCACTTCCGCCACCACCTCCTCCACCTCCTCCTCCTCCTCCTCCACCGCCACCGCCACCTATCCCACCCCCCGAATCGCCACTGTGCTGATTCCCCGGGTGATGACGCCGCGACTCCGGCGGACTTTGGCTCGGCTGCTGTTGTGGATGATGACGGTGATGATGATGATGATGATGAAGATGATGCTGCTGATCCAGGCCAAACTGGTGGTGATGTTCCGGCTGGGCTTGCGTCGTTTGGGCGCGCAGGTCCAGGGCCGCCGTCGCGTCCGAAATCTTGAGGCCTTCGCGAGAAGCCCGGGCTACCCCCTTGCGGCGCAGCTTGCCCGCTTTTTCGCACCTCTTCCGGTAAGCAGCTCGACGGCTGACACAGCACCTCCGCGCTTGCCGTTACTCTCCTCTACTTCCGGTCTCCTTTGACTTTCTCCTTCTCCTCCTTATTCTTATACCGTTCCACTACTATCCTCTCCCTTCCTCGCTTCCTTCTCCCTCCTCTTCTTCCTCTTCACCGCCTCCTTCTCCTTCGCCGCCTCCGCCTCCCTCTGCTCCGGAACTTCCGATTATGACTCTTCTTCCTCTACCGTCACCGCTCTCCACACGAACTTCCTCCCGACTTCCTCCGATGAACCTCCTGGTACCAGTGTCCTTCAGCCGCGAGATCAGCCCTCGCCTATCGCGATACTCGGCCTCGTGCACGTTGCCGAGTAGCGACCACCGCGAGGACCGCGAGACGTCACTTGGGACTACTCGACGGCACCACCACTGAGAAGTCGTGCGGAATCACGATCATGAAAACTCCCTTTAGTCTATTAATCGCTCGTGGAGATGATTATCCACTTGATTAGACGATGCTACTCCTATTACAGATCTTCCTGGTGCTTGGCTGCTGCTACTGTTCACTCTGCCACTAATTCCTTATCAAGGCCTGCGCCAATCGAAGAATGTACTTGGGTGGTTCCTTCCTTCTCTAAAAATTGATGCAAAACTCCAGCTAAGGATTGGTCGATGTCCTTGACCTTGGTCAGTTTCCAATAACTATTTTCAGCTCTCTCTTCCTCTTCCGTATCCTAAGAATGCGTGTACGATTTGTGTGTGTGTGTGTATGTTGTATTAATGGGTGTTGCGCGCGCGAGAGTAAGTTTTGTCCTCGTTATCCGAAGACAGGCTATTTCTTCTATCTACTTAAAGTCTAGCATACACTTAAGTTCAGGTTAATTCAGGATTGCCCAGCCCGGACGGTGTGAACGAGATGGAGCCTCGAGGACAGACGACAGGACACCTTTCCCGATACCCTGCTTCAAGGGATTCTACGCGATGCTCCACGGCCGTTTAGTAAACGAATGCAACCCTCACTCGGAGTGGATCCGTCGAAATTCGTCCCGTTAACTTCTTCCTTCTTTTTTTTTCAATTTGCCCTGAGTAGCCCCGTTTGTGATTGTGTGTGCGTGTGTGTGTATTACGCACGTACGTGCACGCCTGTTATGTGCTCTCGCAAATTCCTCGAGATCCGATTGGCTTCCGGCTTCACGTACGTTGCGCAGTGCGTGTTATTCTTTTATACGGGACGAATTACGCGCTTTTCCTCCTTATAGGGTGAATAAATTCGCTTTTCTTCTTCTATTTATTCTTTTTGAATATCTTTTGCCAATTTTTTGTTAATTTCAAATTTCTTTCTTTTTTTGTTTTACTTTCTTTTTTTTGGAGATTCAGAATCCTCTGCTCGTCTATGTCCGTCAATTGCTCCTCCTCGAAAAAAAATGCGACTCTACGTTTATCGTTTAACGATTATCGGTTATCGATTACCGTGTCGTACCGATCGTCGATGGTAGTAGTTGCTTCTTATTATCGTTTAGTAGGTTTAATTAATATTGCACTTAGGTACACTCGTTTTTTGAACACACTGAAATATATGTATGGCGGGGTTTCGATCCGAACTCTGTCGATCGCTTTTGCTTTCTTTATTCTTTTCTCTCTCTCCCTCTCTCTCTCTCTCTCTCTCTCTCTTCTCTTTGCTTTTCCTTCAGAATTTCTAAACCCACTTCTTCCAATTCTTTTCTCTTTCCGATCTTTTTTCTTTATTCTTTTCTCTCTCTCCCTTTTTGAACACACTGAAATATATGTATGGCGGGGTTTCGATCCGAACTCTGTCGATCGCTTTTGCTTTCTTTATTCTTTTCTCTCTCTCCCTCTCTCTCTCTCTCTCTCTCTCTCTTCTCTTTGCTTTTCCTTCAGAATTTCTAAACCCACTTCTTCCAATTCTTTTCTCTTTCCGATCTTTATCCTTTCGATTCTCTCTCTTCCTATCTGTTCTTATTATTTTTTATCTCCTCGATGTTTTACTTCCGGGACGTTGACACTGCTTTCTTCTTTCACCTTCCCGCTTCCTTATTTCTCTTCTTCCTCTTCTCCTCTTCTTCCTTGATCCTCTTCGCTCTGAATGTCGCTCTTCTTCCGCTCACTCTGCTCTCTCGTCGTATTCTGCTTCTTCCGCTTCGTCCAGTCTTCCTCTCCCGTGCGGGAATCTCTCGCTGCAACGCGTCTCCCGCTCGAAGCTACAAAAATCACCAGAACAAAAATAATTTAATTAATGACAGTCAAGATCGACATTTTAAAGCACTACGTGAGACACGTTAAACGTCGACACGACTGAGAAGTCAACGTGAACAAATAGAATACAAATGTACATATGCAGTAATTTAGTTATTTTATAATCATTAAAATATAACATTGACGAACGAACGAAAAGAGAGTTAAGAAAATTATATAAATTGCATTTGCGAATTTAAACGGCACTTCTTGAATTTTAGAGAGGTTTCAAGAGTCACGGCTTCACGGAGTTAATGAAAAATAAATGAAGAATATTTTGCTCGAATACGAATCGGCTGTCTGTCAAGGATTAAAAGATACCTCACGGAATCCAATGCATTTACGATGGCGTGCATGCGTTGGTCTCTCTCTTTTTATTTCTCGTTTTTTTTTTCTTTTTTTTTTTCGTTGTTTTTCTTTCTACTCGCGAACGGCACCCTCACGAAAACCAGTCGTGGTAGAGAAACGAGGGGTGACTCCCGAAACGGAGGGGTCGTGTCAGATACTTGACGGGATGCGCTATAGGTTAAGGGTAGCAAGAAACTTTTCTGTCATTATAATGACGGCGACCACGTCCGCCCTTGATACTTGACCTCGACGGTCGTAAAAATGAAAATTTCTATTTTTATAAAAGAAATTCAAAAAATTGATCATGTAAACCGACGATGTTGCTGCACTTTTTTTAATCGATAAAACGAACACTCGCGTCACGGGGGATGATCGCGAAACTTTAAGTGACGCTCGCTGTCATCCGAATATCGGGACGTTCACGGAGGAATTTTAATGAAAAATACGTAAATTCGAAAAGACGTCTTTCTCACGCTTAATCGTTACTTTTAAGCAATGAAGTTTACACGAGACGTTAGAAATTTTTGACTTTTTTTTTTATTCTTGATTTGAAAACACAGTATCTTTTAGAAAGACCACAAAAATTTATCCATACAATTTTGCTTTAAATTTCGTAAATTTTCGAACACCTGTCACGTTACGCGTTCACGAAAAGTCGAGCGTCGCTTGCCGTCGCGACGCATCGGTGACAATATAAAAAAAAACGTGAAATAAGTGAAAATAATGTGTAACCTGAAAATTGTCGTTTGCGTATTTTCAAATCTAATAGCGAAGTATACCGTGACGTGAGAATTGCGTAAATTACCAATCATATAAAAAAAAGAAAGGATATAAATAAATAATAAAAAAAAAGCATAACATGCCAACATACATATTTTATTGTATCTTCGGCCTAGTCGGCAAATCATAATAACTCGTGCACTTTCTTTCTCTTTCTCTTTCTCACTCTCTTCTTCTTTACTTCCCTACGTCAGCCCGTCTCCACGCCGCTTTGATAACAACTTCTTCTTCTTCTTCTTCTTCTTCTTCTTCTTGGGAAACGTCAAAGCGTGAACAAAGAGAGCGGAAGAGAGATAAGAGAAAAAAGAGAGAACTACGTAAAATAAACATGATAAGTCTATGGCACTTTGAAGAATATCAAAAATACACAAAACACATAAAAACCCACGTACGAGACAGATACGATAGAAGCACAACTACACGACGCGTTATCCTGTCGCGTTACGAAAATACGTATGATAAATAGCTTCAAAAAAAATTTATTTAAAAGAAAAAGAAAACACCAAGATATTTTGTCACACGTGCGAATCATTTTCGTCGCGCATTGCTCAGTCGCTCCTGTCGTGATCGTCCTGGGACATCAGAATCTTACAAGGATTCGATGATCCTGCATTTCAATACTTCACAAATCACGACGATACCGCATAAAAAGATATTCCAGCCGCCGCAGTATCGCACCGCGAGTTTCCTTAGGATCTGTTTAATCTCGTATTGAAATTTTCAAGAATTAATTAATCGTCCCTTTCACTTCTGCAGGACCCACAGAACACGCAAATAGCCAGGACCCACGTCGCGTGTTCTCCACTCGCGATACGGCTAAGCGAACAGTGTGATAAAAATAGTATTAAAAAATCACAGTCCTTTCGAGCACCCACGTATCCTTGTGAAATAGGTTATCTTTAAATAAAGCACAAATACTTTCACGGGAACACTTAACCTGAGGTAATATCGGTAGTGCGACTTGATCCTTGCCGATCTCGAGGAAACGTAGTGAAATTTAAAGGGATATGAGAGGCCTTGTAAAAGACGTAGGAGAGTCGTGCACGCGTGACGTAAGATTTGTCAAATTTACGTAAAATAATGAAAAGCATCAATCGTGTATTTGACGGGATCGCGAAGGAGAGGAAAAGGAAAAAAAAAGGTAAGAGGAAGCGAAGATCTTTGGTAGATTATCACGGGTTAACGTCGTCAAACACACTGATTGCAAGTCACACATACACGCACGTTTCCCTCTCTCTGACCACGTAGTGTTATGTATATATATATGCACAGGTATGTACATATGTGTCACGAGAGGCGTATATAGAAGCATACGTGGATATAGGTAGCAAGAGGTCTGTCCTGTCTTCATCCACAGTCTCTCTCTGCAAATCTGACAAAGCGCGAGACCGGCAAAGTCAAAGATCCATTATAGGGAATAAATGCGGCTACGAAGCCTCCTGTCCCAGGAACGATCACGCAGTTGGCGTTGTCGGATACTCAATGAATATCCCCTTTGGAAAGTTCACAAAACTCGCGACTTCGGTGCTGACGGTGAACGCAATGAAACGTGTAACGATGAGGATACGTAACGAACTCTTACTGTCGCAACTGAAACCGTAAGAAAGCGCAACCTCGATGCTCGTCGAATACAACCACCGACTGTCAAGTGTAACCGTGTTGTTGTTGTTGTTCCTGTTGCGCGAGCGATGACAAAGTCGTAGCGGAGGAACTGTCAAGTCGTAGAAGTACGCTTCAGGCTTGTTCTCTTGACAATGTTGGTAGAAGTGTTTCAAAATCTTGTTGTTGTTTTTGTTGACGTCGATGACATTCTCCTAGTGTACTGGCATTAGTTGTTGTTGTTGTTGTTGTTGTTATCGCTGCTGCTGCTGCTGTCGTAGGTAGCAGTGTTAACCGTTGTTATTGTTCTTGTCTAAGTGATCGTCGTTGTCGTGACAGTAGTCGCCGTCTTGTACGATGTAAGACGCGAGTAAGGCGGCAACTAGGATGTGTTTTTCCGTGGAAAAAGGACGTTCCCTTCCGCGTTCGAGTCCTTGACGGAGGAGGAACCGAACTGACTGAGGTCTGCGGCTCGCGAGAAATGCTAAGTCGTTCTCCGTGGCCGGTGGTGGCGCGCGTCTCAGACCGCGTGCGTCTGACTAAAAGCCACCCCCCGTGCCTTAAAGAACGCGCCGGGTAGGGGCGTTGTCTTAGGTGGCGCGCGGCTGCCGAAATTTTGCCCAACGTCGATGGCTCCTGGGACGATTTCCGCGGGTTCCCGAAGGTCCGCGTGACGTTGTAAGGACCTGGTGGGCAACGCTGGTGTCCGATGTACATTTCGCGAGGGTGTCGGAGTCCTCCTCGTATGAAAATTCTGACCTCCGAGGACGAAAAACTGAGGACGCGCGCGGACAGGAGTTTTCAGGCCACCCCTCTTTTCCTTTGCCCCCACCAAAACGCCTGGCGCCTACCCCCCTTGCCTTCGACTGGGGTGGGGACTCCTCGACTGCCTACCAGCACGTAGTTAGGGGAACGTCTAAGGGGTGAGAAAGAGTGGGGCGAGCCCAGTCGAAGGAGGGTTGTAAGAACCGGTGGAATATTCTCTTTTCTCCTCTGGCTACATTCTCTCCCTTAGGTATACCTACTACCCTTAACGTATAAAACCCACTACCTACCACCACCACTGTCGCTGCCACCCCACTGACGTTGGACTTGGAGACTCCACTAACGCACACTGCTCTCCGGCGGACGTCTATGAAATCCTCCCACCTTATTCCTTACCCCTTCTCTATCGCCTCCTCCCTCTCCTCTCCTCTCGCGACCCCCCTTATTTCTCAGATACCACTACCATCCAACCACCGACGCCACTGCACAACCCCGTCAATTTTCTTCCGTTCGCCCTGCCGGACATTTCTTTTTCTTGCCTTTATTTACATGGGCACGCGCGCGTCCTTGAAATCCTTGTTGAGTGGACCGCCCGGTAGCGCGATTTTAACCCCTCGACACGACCCTTGCGCAATGATACAACCCTCTCGCGTTTACCTCGACTTATCTTTTGTATTCCCACACGGGACAGTTACTACCATCTCTCTCTCTCTCTCTTTCTCTCTCTCTCTCTCTCTCTCTCTCTCTCTCTCTCTCTCTCTCTCTCTCTCTCCTTATCCTACCCCTCCTTTACTTACTTGCAGAATCTTTTATTGGACTTCAAGGACATAGGTCCATGCGTTACTCATCAATGGACTTTTTTCAATACAACTTACGATTCCGATCACTACCCCCGTGTACCGTGTGTACAAGGCGAACCGATAAGTACGACTGGCTGAAAAATACCAAGGGGGGGCCCTGGTCTCTATATGCCATAAGGGGGTGTAGACAGGAGGTGCATAAAAAGAGGGGACCCTACGTAAAAATGGCCCCTGTGCCCCGTATGGCAACATATGCGTGACTAAGGGGG